AGATAAAAAAAAATCAAAAGTATGATTTAGCCTTTATTTTGATAACCTATAATTTTTTTATTATAAAAAGTGTCATATAGTATGATATTACTAATAATTGTAAATAATACTTGAGATGGTCATTTAAAATTTTAATAAATAATTAAATAATTAAAAATGATTATATAATACTAGGAAATAAAAATAATCGTTCTAAAGTTTAAAAGGATGAAAACAATTCTTTTTACAGAAACTAAAATTAAAATTTGTTCATTATGTAGGGACTAAACATATGTAGACTTAAGTAAAATTAACAAAGTTATGTTTTTAATCCTTACAAAATTAACTAATTTTGATTTTGATCTTTGTAAAAAATTTCTTATTTTCATTTCTCTAAAATTGAAACTATTGTTTTTAGTCCTATATTTTGTGATCATTTTTAACAACTTTTTGGTTTATTAAGAGATTAAGTGGTCATCTTAGATGTTACCCATGATTGTTAGTGATATCATATTAATATTTGACATCTCTAAAATCTGTATAGATACTTAAAATAATGGTTATTTATCTACCTTAAAATGATCGCTTAAAACAAAAAAAAAATAGTGTTTTTAATATTTAAAAGGAAAAATCAAAGAAAAATATTTTACAAGGATCAAAATCAAAATTTATTTATTTCACAAGGACCAGAAATAATGTTATACATGTTAGAAGGATGAAAAATAAATAAGTTTTTCTACAAGGACCAAAATCAAAACTCACTCGTTTTACATGAACTAAAAACGTATTTAAGTTAATGTCAAAAAATAATTAAATATCTCATAATATAAAACACATATTTCTAAAATGTGTTAATTAAATAATTAATTAAAACACATATTTTGTTTGTATGTTACTATAAAAAATTATTTTACAAATATGTTTTTATTAACTTATTTAGAAAATATGCGATGTCACATTTAGTAATATGGAGTATCCTCTAGCTTTGCTAGTGACTAATCTCTGTCTGAGAACCTGGCACTGGTCACCTTCAGTGACATATCCCTTCCCAACCATTTTTTTTCATGCACAAGACTCAAACTCAAGACCTTGCTTAAGAGAATTGAGTTACGTACCACTTGGACCAACAACTTGTTGGTCACCAAATACTTTTATTATGGAGTTTTGAGCAATTTTTTTTTAATCATAGATTAGGGTTTTAAGCGTAGACTGCTTGCACTTCTTGTTTTCACGCTTACATTCTTTTCTCCATGCTTTGAAGAAACTGAGGAACTACTAAAAGATACGAAAGCAACCACTCTAGAGGCTTGTGTTTGTCTATGATTGTTTATCAATGTAGGAGAGTGAGTAGTCTTGTTTTCGAAGTGGGATATTTGCGGGTAAAGAGATTGACCCCTAATCTCTTATTTGTTCTTGTATGTTGTGAGGGATAAACCTAATTATTTCTCATAACCTATGAAATTATGTTTTGTACTCTTCTTATATGCCTTGCTTTTTTTTTTTTAATGATTGAGACATATGTATGGTCGATTTCATGATAATTGCTTTAATCATTAATCTATGAGTGTCTGTTGTAACGACCCAATAGGTCTCTACACTTTATAGTCCAACTACAGTGCAACAAAAATAATATATTATAACAGAATTATCATGCAATTAATTATTGGATATTCATGCAACAATATATATGTAGGGAAATAAACAACG